CTCAGTGACTAGGTGCCGGACTCTGATTATGGGAATCATCTGGCGACATTTAAACTGTGCTGCCTGAGGTGCAGCAGATCTACCTAATACACAGTCACAAACTCAAACAGGTACCCAAAATGGAGAGAGAAAAAAACAACCCCCGGTGAAAGAACAAGAGAATTCTCCAATAGCAGAGATAAATGAAATGAAGATAAGAAATTCATTTGATATATAGAGTTCAGAATAATGATGGTTAAGATGCTCAATAGCATGAGAGAAGATATAGTAAATATGAAAAAGAACAGTCAGAAATAAAGATTGACATAGCACTAATAAAGAACACATTGGGCCGAAACTGGTTTGGCTCAGTGGTAGAGCATCCGTCTGCGGACTGAAAGGTCCCGGGTTCGATTCCGGTCAAGGGCATGTACCTTGGTTGCGGGCACATCCCCGGTAGGGGGTGTGCAAGAGGCAGCTGGTCGATGTTTCTCTCTCATCAACATTTCTAGCTCTCTATCTCTCTCCCTTCCTCTCTGTAAAAAATCAATAAAAAATATTAAAAAAAAAAAAAGAACACATTGGAAGGAATACACAGCATATTAGGGGAAGCTGACAATGAGATCAGTGAATCTGAAGACAGTGTAGAAAAAAATCACTCAGAGAACCAAAAAGAAAAAAACAATTAAAAAATAAGAGGATAGTTTAAGGGAGCTGTGGAGCATCATGAAACATAACAATGTTCGCACAATAGTTATACCAGAAGGGGAAGAAAGTGAGAAGGGGATATAAGACGTGTTTGAAGAAATAATGGCAGAAAACTTACCTAACCTGATGAAGGAAAAAGTCCCACAAGCTTAGCAGGCACAGAAAGTCCCAAGCAAGAACCCAACAATGCCCTGGCCCAGACACATTCTAATTAAAATGCCAAAAATTAAAGAGAAAGAATCTTAAAGGCAGCAAGAGTAAAGCAATTTACAAAGTAGCTCCCATAAGGCTGTCAACTGATTCCTCATCAGAAACTACAGGCCAGAAGGAAATGACAGAAGTATTGAAGGTAAAGAAAAGCAAGGGTCTGAAGCCAAGATTACTATATCCAGCAAGGCTATGATTCAAAATAGATGATGAAATAAACAGCTTCCCAGATTTAAAAAAAAAAAAAAAAAAAAAAGCCTAAAACAGTTTATCACTACCAAGCCAGCATTGCAAAAAATGCTAAAGGGTCTGCAGTAATGAGAAGAAATAGAGAAACCTAGGCATAAAGGATTAAAGTGGCAATAAATAAGTACCTATCAATAATAACTTTAAATGTAAATGGATTAAATGCTCCAATCAAAAGGTGTAGGGTAGCAGAATGGATACAAAAGATGACCCAACTATATGCTGTCTACAAGAGACCCACCTCAGAACGAAAGACTCACATAAGATGAGAGTGAAGGTTTGGGAAAAATTTTCCATGCAAATGTAAAAAAATCAAACCAACATAAAGCTAGGGTGACAATACTCATATCTGACAAAATAGATTTCAAAATGTAAGCCATTATAAGAGACAACAAAGGTCATGCCATAATACTAAGGGATCAATCCAATAAGAGAATATAACCCTGGTAAACATATTATATATGCACCCAATATAGGAGCACCTAAATATATTTTTAAAAAAGCTTCTAAAGGACTTTAAGGGAGAGATCGACAACAGTACAGTTACAGTAGAGGACTTTAACACCCTGCTGACTTCACTGGATAGATCATCCAGACAAAAAAATTAAGAAGAAACCAGTGACTCCAAAGCACACACTGGATCAGATGGATTTAATTGACATTTATAGAACACTAGAGGCCCAGTGCATGAATTCTTGCACCAGTTGGGGTCCCTTGTCCTGGCCTACGGGATCAGGCTGAAACCGGTTCTCCAACATCCCCCAAAGGGTCCGGATTGCAAGAGGGTGCAGGCCAGGCCAAGGGACCCCACTGGTGCATGATCAGGGCTGGGGAGAGATGCCGGAGGTTGGCCAGCTGAGGAGTGCCTGCAGGAGGGCTCTAATTGGCTGGACCCCAGCAGCAAGCTAACCTACCGGTCAGAGCGTCTGCCCCTGGTGGTTAGTGCACATCATAGTGAATGGTTAAGCAGCCTTAGCCTATCATTAGCATATTATGCTTTGACTGGTTAAACAGCCAACTGGATAACGGGACTCTTAGCATATTAGGCTTTTATCATATGAGATTTCACCCCAAAGCTGCAGTATATACATTCTTCTCAAGTGCACATGGCTCATTCTCAAAGATAGAGCACATGTAAGTGTACAAAACAGGTTTCTACATGTTCAAGAATACTGGAATCCTATCAAGCATCTTCTCAGGTCACAGTGTTATGAAAGTAGAAATCAACTCCTGTAAAAACAGCCCAAACCATTCAGACACATAGAGGCCATGCCTGGCCCATGTAGGCCGCTCAGAGTTTGAAGGGGTCTTCGGTTTAAGTGAGTGAGGCTTGGTCACACGGCCCAGAATCACTCGTTTGCTCTGCTTACAGACGCTTGGAGAGTTATTCCTTCGAGGGTATTTAGACGCGGTGAGGTTCTTGGAAGAAAACGGTACGTATGGGCTGGGGAGGGGGGCAGAGCTGGGATTTGAACCCCAGGGATAGCAGTGAGAAGGCTTTGGGGAGGCCACCCCCCTCCCTGGCCGCTTCCACATCTGTATGGGGGGGAGTTGGGGGTCCAGTATATCTAGGTGATTCTCGATTTGCACACTCGGTGCTGGGTTTGGGCTCGAATATGTCAGCAGGTCCTCAGGCAGCTGGTCCCGGGGGTGGGGGAGAGGTGAGGCCCTCTGGGAACACATCTGTACCCTGGGCAAGTGCTGTCCCAGAGGGCGAGCAGCGTGTCTAAGGGAGGCCCTGGGACAGATGTCGAGAAGCATAAATGGGGGGTAATCTGGGAGCACCGAGGGCCGTCAGGGGCAGCCCCTGTCTGTGACCTGAGGATGGCAGCAACAGGTGAGCCAGGGCAGCCGGGGCCCCTGAAGCTACTGCCCCCAGCCCAGAGCGCTGCACCCTGTGTGCCAAGTACGAGGGAGCTGGGAGCCCCTGTGGTGTCAGCTACTGCACCCCAACTCCCGGGGCAGCCCCCCTCCTCCCCCATCCCATGCCTATCCCGAGCCTAATACCGCTTTCAGGATCGGGTGGCGGGAGAGGACCATGACTGGTGTCAGGCCCGGGTTCAAATCCCGCTCTGCCACAGACGGGCTGTGTGGCTGTGGATGCGTCTCTGAACCTTTCTGTGCTCCCTGCCTCGGCTGAAAGGGAGACGCTGATAAAAGCAGTAGAATGGCTGCTGCAGGGCCTGGCTGGGAGCTCCTAGTCCGGCTGGGGATGCAGGCGTAACGGGCAGTGCCACCCCGTTAGTACCAATGAGCTGCCGTCCTCTCCCTCCCGCCCACAGGGACAGTGCAGCCACATGGCGACGGGGAGAGGGAGCCAGGAGCTGGGCTCCCTTCGCTGGGCTGCAGAGCCCACGCCGCCGCCTCTGGGAAGCCCTTTGCCCTCGTCCATCCCGCTGCTCCTGAGCGGGTCCCAGGCGGCCGTGTCCGGTGGCTGCTGGTCTCCCTGGCACAGTGGATGGGTGTGTGAGTAATGACCCTGTCTCTGTGCCCTGTGTAGGCATCTGTGACAGGCCCCCTCCGAGCCTGGGGGTGCCCTCCGGAGCGCCCGAGTTCCTCCCGTTCTCCTGGGAAACCACGGGCCCCGAGGCCTCCCCCGGGGCGGCTGCCTGGCAGAGGAGCCCTGAGGTGGCCAAGCTGCTGCCCTGGGACGAGAGCCTCCTGGAGACCCTGCCGCCCCAGCTCATCGCAGGTGACGCCTCCGGGCGGGAGGGGGCGCTGCTGAGACTGAAGGGCTGCTCCCCGGGGTAGGGGTTGGGGTTGGGTTGGGGGGAGGGTGATGCTGCCATGGGGAGGAGGGGAGGCCCCCTCCTGGCACCATCTCCCCACCAGTCCCCCCTCCCACGTGTGCATGGCCAGGAACACCACACGCCGCTGAGCCCGTTCTGAGTGAAGCCGGCATGCTGCCAGAGCCTGGGGTCCGGGCACACCGGATTTGGGGGGCCCGAGGGTGGGCCCCTTCTCTCAGAACACCATCCTCTGCCTGTGCCCCATCGCCAAGCCTCCTTTCTGGAGGGGCCTGTCTGCCTCCCCCTCCCAAACCCACAGCTTTGAACTTGTCCTTGAACGATGCTGGTGCACTGGTCATGTGGTCAGACACCAGGTGGACCCAGGAGGGCACAAACCAGACCCACTGGGCGTTGGGAGAAATCCCAAGATAAACACGACGCTGATGCCCAGGCGGCTAATTGTGAGGCGCCTGAGGCCTTGACGAAGGGGAACCGGAAGCCAGGGCTCAGGCAGAAGATGGGTGCTGGGGAAGCCATAGGCGGGCGGGCAGGCGGGGTCCTGTCTCCTCCAGGGAGAGGCCCGGGCTGCCCCAGGCGCCAGCTCCTGCTTCCCTGGCAGCAGGGAGTGCCTTTCACCGACATCCCAGCAGCCTCTGGGGGCGGTCACCTGGTGGAACCCCTCCCCCAATGGTCTCTTCCAGGGCTGAGTGAGGCGCTGAAACCCCGCGGGGGCTGCCTGAGCAAGCTCTGCAGCCTCCTGCCCGTGAAGGTCATGTCGTACGTGATGCTGCCCTGGACGCTGCCCGTGGAGTCCGCGGTGGCGGTGGTGCAGAGGTGAGCGCAGTGGGCGGCGCTGTCTGCGCTGATCCTGGGCGTGTGTTTGCTCAGCCTTCTCTGGAGGACTCCGGCGTCTCCCTTCCTCTTAGCAAGTTAAGCCAGCATGTCCTCCTGTCCATCTTCACAGTCCAGCCCGCCCTTCCTCCTCCAGCTCCGCTGTCCCGCCCGGGGGACCTTTCCTGGTCCCTCCCGCCCCAGCGAAGGAGCCCCTGGTTCCCACACCGCCTGAGGAGTGGGTGGTGCCTGCACCCCCGCTTCAGGCATCTTGAATCTGGGAAAACCAGGTTTCTCCTTGAATCCCCATGTTAACCCCGAGCTTTCCTGAATCCAAAGGGGCCTCACTTTGGCTCCTGGCCACTTTGCTCAGTGGTTAGAGTAAAGGGCCCAGGGTTCGAGTCCAGTTAAGCCAGGGCACATACTTCGGTTGTGGGATTCCTGGTGCATTGATATTTCTCAGTTTTCAGTCTCCCTCATCCCTTCCACACTGTCAGAGGAAGGATGAACACACACACTCACACACACACACACACACACACACACACACATACACACACACACACAGCGGCCTAAGTGCACCACATGGGGAGCTATTAGATGGGAAGTAGAAGGTAGCCCGGCCGGCAGTCTGGCATGCTCCCTGCCTTTTGACCAGCTTTTGTTTGGTTCTCTGAATTTTGACTTGTCTTCCTGCTGACACGGGCGTGTGGGTGCGTGTGCCTTTATGGGTGCATGTGTGTGCGTGTGCACGCGCGTGTCTGTGTCTGCGTTTCTCCCCGCAGACTGGTGCTGTGGCTCCCCCACATTCCTGACGATGTGCAGTGGCTGCAGTCCATGACCGCCCAGGTGTGCTCTCGGCTGGTGACGCATCTGCTCCCACGCTCAGGTAAAGGATGTGTGTGGTCCGAGGGGCCCCGTCATCCGACCAGGCCTTGTGGACCATTCTAGAACCAGGGTGGAGCACCCAGTGGGTGACGAGGGGCGTATCTTTCAGTGGAGGGGGGGGCGGTCCGGTGTGAGGCAGCCAGGAAGCCAGGGGTCCCGGTGCCGGTGCTGAACGCTCGCCATGCCCGCTGGCACAGATTTGGCCCCAGATTTGACGGGGAGCTGAGCGGGCAGAGGGTCAGGAACGTTGCTTTGCCTCGGGAAGTAGCTCGGTGCCCGCAGCACGGGGTGGGCGAGGCACGCAGGAGTGCCAGGCAGGGCTTCTGGGGGCCTAGGAGGCTGTCATGTTAACACGGACTCCTCTCTGACCTCAGGCTCGCAGAATCCTCGGCTGGTGGTGGAACCCCCAAGTCCAGGCGGAAGCACGGCCTGGTGACGCGGCTGCTCTCTGAGGCCCGCACCCCGGTGCCCAGTGAGGACGGCCTTGCTCTGGTTCCGAGGGCTGCACCTCGTCCTGACCATCGTGGGTCTTGGCTTTCTCATCTGCTCAGCGGTGTCCTCGTACCGCTTCTCGGGGTTTCTGGAGGCTCTGGGGACCCCTGGCACAGCACTGGGCGGGGGTGGGCGCTTGGAAGGTGGGGACTCCGTTGTTACTATGATCGGCAGATGTCAGGGGTTTAAAGTGGGGGGTGGTAGGGTCCGGTTTGCACTGGGAATGAACACGTGACCTTGTGACCTTGGGCCTGAGTGGCGGCAGGCTCGCCAGCGAGAGGGCAGCCAGCCCGGCCAGGCCCGGACCGGAGTCTGGTCTCAGTACAGCGTGGGATTGAGAGGCGTCCAGAGGCTCCAGGGCCCAAAGGAGGTGCCCGCTGCAGCCCTGGAGCCGCCACATCCCGAGGGAGGGGCAGCCGGTCAGAAGGAGGCGGCGGGGGCTGCGGAGGGCGTTGGGGGGGGAGGGGACCCTGCCCTACCCGGGGAGCTGCTCTGTGTGGCTCTGTCTGCTGTGGAGCCAGTGGGCGGTGTCCCGGTGGCGGGAGGGCCTCAGGCTGGCGGGCCCGGTCGGTACACTGGCCCAGCACCGAGGCAGCAGGGCTGTGTCCTCGGAGGGCACGAGGTCAGGGCCCACAGAAGACGGTAGTGACTTGTTTACCTTGTAGAACACCTTTCTGACGCAGCCTAAGTGTCACCGAGATGTGTGAGACACAAGGGAGGCTCCCTGTCTGCTGAGCCGCGTATCCAGGGGATCGGGAAGCTGTCACAGCAAAGCCTTGTTAAAGGTCCCGAGCACAGACAGTGCCCGGGTCCCGCGCAGGAGCCAGACTCCGCAGCTTGGCCCCGTCCGCTGGCACCCTCAGCTTGGCTTCACACACACACACACACAGACACCCCACCTCTGGCTTGCTCCCCCGCCCCCCTCACCCCTGCCTTAATGAGAAGCGGGCACAGACAGCCCCCTCCTCCCAGGGGTAACTTGCTGGCAGGCACATGGCACTACCCTCCTGGGGAAACGTGGGTGTCTGCGGCTCTTGCACAGGCAAGTGTTACAAAGAGGATCAGGCTGAGGCCAGCCCCGGGCGTTGGGACGGACGGTGGCACCTCTCCCCTACTTTGTGAGTATCCGGAGCCTCGCCCCTACTTTGTCAGGAGCGAGCAGAGAGCCAGCCGGTCCAGACAGGACTCCTCACAGGCACACCCTCCCTCAGGGCGGCGCTCCAGGGGCTGGTGCTGGCTGCGCCCCTTCTCTCCAGCTGTGATGAGCCGAGAACGAGGAGCAGGGGTGACTTGTGATGACACAGGGTCATTGCCCAACACAGGGACCCCCCCCCCCAACCCCTGGGACTCCCCGCTGGCTCCTGTGTCTCCAGGCGAGGGCGCACCCCTCAGAGAGGCAGGGGCTGCTGAGTGGAGGACTCTCCCCCTCTCCCTGCCCCCGGTGCAGAACAAAGCCTGCCCCTTGCCCAGCTGGTGGAGCGGGAGGCCACGCTGCCACCCCCCTGGACTCCTGTCGCCCCCCTCACGCCCCGCCTAGGACACACTGACAGATTTCACAGGAACCCGTGCGTTCTTGCAGACGGGTACGTGCGTGAGCTTTGTGACCGTCATCAGGAGCTAAGTATGTTCAGTGACTGATAAAATCACATGACACCTGTTTCCTTTACACTTAAAAAAAAAAGTGCTCTTACCATGAGCACGTTTCTCCACTTTGTAGAATGAGCTCTAAGACAGAAGTGCTGTGCCCCTTAGAGATGGCCCCTTAAGAAAGCAGAACCTCCCAGCCCCAGCCCCAGCCCCAGCTCTGCCAGGGTCTCACCTGCGGGTGAACACACCCTCCAGGCAGGCCCTCTGCCTGGCAGATAGAACCCCCTCTCCCTGGGGCACATCGGGCAGCGTTCCCGGCAGGCGGTATGCAGGGGAGCCCCATTCAGTGGCCGCCAGCCGGTGGTCCGGGAGGTTGGCACCTGCCCGTCTAGCTGGTGCCTGGGAACAGCAGCCTCACGTAGCACAGGTGGCAGAGCCTGGCGCAGACGGGGCCCAGTGCCTTAAGGACAGTGTGGGTGTGAGTGTGAGACAGAAGGAAGACGGAAGGACATACACCCCGTACTGTCCGTGGCAGTCCTGGTGCCACTGTCTACGCCTCTGCTGTGCTTACATGTGTTGTCCACATTCCTGTGTGAACATGGATGTCTTCGGTGAGAAAAGTTCATCATAAATGGCATTTCGAGTGCTCTCCCTCGACTGTCCTTCCAGACAATGCGGCCGCTCTTCCTCACAGCCAGCTCCTGTGAAACGCCCTGTCTCCCCCCGAGGCGGCCTGCAAGGCCAGGCGGCCTCCACGCTCCTTCCTGGACGCTGGACCCCTCTCCTTCCTCTGGGACCCCTCTCCTTCCTCTGGGACCCCATACTCTGAAGGGGCTCCTCCATACCGGTGCTGGACCGTCCCCAAAGCTGATCCTGAGGGTGGAGCGAGGGAGCTTGGAGCCAGCAGGCCTTGTTTCCCGAGTCCTTGGCGCAGGTGAGGGTGGAGCCACGTGCCCACCTCTCCCCGGCCACCCCTCGGTTGCACCCCGATACACCCCCCAGGACAGAGCTCAGCTCCCGGCTCAGCTGCCCTGTTCTCAGCTTCCAAGCCAGGAGCCAGGAGCTCCGCCTCCCTCGTGGCCTCCGAGACCATTTCCTCCCGGGACCCGTGCACCCATACACTGCGTGCCCTCCCGCCGCTGCTGGCCCATCGGCGTTTCACACACAGTTCTGGGGTGCTGGCAGGTGTCACCGGGGACGGGACCAGTTAGGACAGGCTGGGGTGCGCTACCTTCAACAAGAGCCCAAAGGGGCCACTTCTCACCCCAGGTGCCCTCAGTCTTGCCGATCCAGCTGGAAGCTGTGCCGCCTGCGGAGGGTCACTGACAGCCATGGTGGGCAGGGAGGGATGTTTCAGTGCTGTTAACGTGAAAAACCACTGAGACCTGCAAAGAACTGAGAGTTTATTTGAGCCAAACTGTCGACATAGGCTGGGAAGCAGACCCTCAGTGAACTGTGATGACGCTCGGAGAACGGCGGGTACCTCTGTATTTGCACAGTGCTATCAGAGGAGGGGACGGAGGCGGGTTACATGGAATTCACCGGCGACAGGCTGGAGAGGCAGGAGAAAGCAAAGCGGGGAGACCCTGGGGTTGGGTAAAAGGTAAAATGATGGTCTGTACTCAGGTGGGCACAGGACAATGAACATGATAGTGAAGGGATTTGAGGCATCTGTCCTGCACATTAGGTTGTGCCCCAGGGGCTCCAGAAAAAGGGAAGTTACAAGTTACCCAGACATTTCAGGGGGGTGCTATCACAGATGCTAGGATAGACAGGCTCAGCTAAGATAAAGATTGACCTTGTCAGGGAAGATACCAGCCTAGGAAGTGACTGCCCACCATCACTGCTTTTAGTTCAAGTTTCATTTCAGATCTTCCTTTGTAGTGGCTTTAGGTCTCCGAGTTTGCAAGACCGCCATGCAGGCCTGCCCTGAGCTGTCAGGTCGGCATGGGGCCCCTTCCGTCCGTAGTGCTTACAGGTCTCCCTTCAGCTCACAGCGTGCCCACCGAGCAGGTCATGTGGATGGGGGCGGGGGGCGGGGACAGTGCCTGCCTCTGCCCCGGGAGGACTGACCGGGGGATGCGGTGAAGCAGGGAGGCCACATCAAGCCTCAAACCCCAGAAGGCCCTGTGATGCAATACATTCGGGAAATCCCGGGTGAGAGGGAGACAGGTCCCGCCCTGCAGGACGTCGCAGCCCTTAAACGGTGACTATTGTCACTGTCAGAGACGAGGTTTGATGTGTCCCCTGCGCCCGGGTATACAATAGGTTCTCAAATATTTGGCTCATGACCCCTGCCCCATGCAGGCCCCCTCTGGCTGGCCCGAGAGCCATGAGGGAGGAAGCGCAGGCTGATCTGCTCCGTTCCTGGGTCACGGTGAGCATCATGGCGGTTGGCTAGCGCAGGCCCCAGCCGGTGTGGGCACTGCTCACAGAAGGCTAAGACTGGGAGCCACAGCAGACTCCTGTGCCTGGCTCTCCGGTTTGAGGGTGTTTCTCCGAGCCCCCATGTCCTCTCCTATACAAGGCCACCCGCTGGGAGGGTTCGATGTGACCCTGTGAAAAGCAGGAGCACAGCGCGGCTCACGGCTGAGAAGCCGGCGCTTGGTGGTGCCTTCTCTGGGCCGGGCACACACAGCTGCACGTCTGCTCCCCGGCTGGACCCCACAGCAGGGCTCTGAGGTGCATCGTGCTCCCTCCCCCTTTTCCTAAGGGGAACTGACCAGAGGCACTGCTCCAAGGCCCACAGCTCAGGGGGGCAGAGACTCATGCCTGAGCTGCAGGCGCCTCAGGAAGCTGCTCTTGGAAGTAATGGAATGGGCCGTTACTTCCCAGCGTGAGAGATTTCCCGCAGAACCCGGAGAGTCCTTAGCAGCCCCACCATCAGGGAACTGGCAGGCAGAGAGGCTGTGACCTACCTGAGGTCACGCAGCTAATTATAGCGGTCTCCGTCCAGCTCCAGCCCGTGGTTTCTCTGCCGCAGGAGTCTGCGCCAGGCCCAGCTCCCCCCAGGCCTAGTCCCCCACACCGTCCTTTTTAGGAGGCTGTCCTGCCTGTATGCACCTGTATACCTGCCCACACCTCCTACTGCCGCCCTGCCTCTCCTGCCCTCCCCTCCCCATGCTGCCCTGCTCCTCCTCCCCTCCCCCTGCTCCTCTTCCCCTCCCCCTGCCTCCCCTCCCTTCCCCCTGCAGTCCTGCCCCTCCACCTCTCCCGCTGCTCCTCTTCCCCTCCCCCTGCCTCCCCTCCCTTCCCCCTGCAGCCCTCCTCCTCCTTTCCTCCCCTCCCCCCGCTGCCCTGCCCCTCCTTCACCCTGCTGCCTTGCCTCCCCTCCCCACCCTGCCTCCCCTCCCCTGCTGGCCTGCTCCTCCTCTAGGATTGCTGACCAGGTTCTGCAAAGCAGCTGAGCAGACCCATGTCTGCAGAGACCTTTGAAACTAGTGAAGACACACGTGGGCACAACGGCTGCTTCAATGAGGCTCTCACACCCGGTGGCCACAGCCTCCCTGACCCTCCTTTACAGCCGGGTTCCCAGGTCCCGGTCCCAGAGCCTGATGCAGGTCCGGCTGCGGCTGGGAAGGGGCACCTCCAACAGCCCTCCCCGAGGGGCTCAGCATGGTCTCCAGCCCGAGGGAGCCCCGCTGGGCGCGAACCCTCTGCCTGGGGTGGGGCCCACTCTCGTGGGCAGCGTGGCCGAGTGTGGCTGAGCCTGAGGGCTACGTGGCACCAAGGTACACCCTGAGCCCGCGGCCTGGGCCCTGGGAATGCGCGGGAACAGGACAGGATGGACGAGGGGCGTCTCACTCCCTGCCCTCAGCACTACGCGCGGCGCTTACTGACCCGTGTTTTAGGGGGGGTCTGTTCCGCCACCGGGAGGCCCAAGGCCTCCTGCGCTTCGCTGTGAGCGGACACGAACCCTGGATGACCCCTAACCTTTACTGCTGCAGCTGAACGCACGACGGCCCTTACCCTAAGGTGACCGGACGTCCCGCTTTTGGCCGGACAGTCCCGATTTTTAACAATTTGTCCCGCGTCCCGCGGCGTTTTAAAAAAGTCCTGATTTTTGGAAAGAATGCACGGCAAGCTAGGGAACGGCGGGAGAACAGAAGGGAATATACGGTTTTCGGTGGCCATGTGGATATAAGTTTTATATTACTTTTGTTAATTTTATGTTAAACTTTAATAATAACAATTGTTGAGAACTAATTATCGAGAACTGCTTATCAATGTTCGCATTGTTGATCAGTTGTTAAAATTGTGGAATACATGCAGTTCTTACCAGGAACTAATGCTGCGACTGAACGCATTTTTTCTACGGTAAATAAAGTGTGGACATCAGAAAAATCACAATTAAGTGTTGAGACTTTGAAAGCCATTTTTTTTTCTTTTTTTACAGAGAGGTGGAGAGAGGGATAGAGAGCTAGAAACGTCGATGAGAGAGAAACATCATCCAGCTGCCTCTTGCACACTCCCTACTGGGGATGTGCCCGCAACCAATGTACATGCCCTTGACCGGAATCGAACCTGGGACCTTTCAGTCCTCAGACCGATGCTCTACCGCTGAGCCAAACCGGTTTCGGCTGAAAGCCATTTTCTGTGTGAAATATAATTTAACAAATTCCTGTGAAAAACTTCATGACCTTTTAAACGACAGCAACCTACTAAAAAAAATCACTCAAATGAGAACTATGCCAAATAATAAAATACTATACACAATTTTTATTATATTTGTAAATTGCAATTCTGTTGAAATTTAAAAAATATATATTACAATACTACTTTTGCGTCCTATGAAAATTTTTGTTGCTCCATTGAGACCAAATTTTTAATCAAGATCCCCCCTCCCTCGTCAATGGTGTCCCGCTTTTCCAAAGTTAAAATCTGGTCACCTTCCCTTACCCCGGCTCAGCGCCCTCCCTCCCCCTGCGGAGCCCCGTTAACGCAACCCAGCGAGCAGGTGTGGCCGCCACCTTCCTCCTGCCCCGGGCGCCGGGCCTGAGGGGCTGCGGGGACTGCAGAGGCCAGCAGCAGGGCGCGGGGAGCCTGGGCACTTCGCGTGCGCGGGGCGGGGGGACAGCGCCCCCTGGCCGGGGGCAGGAGGCCGAGGAGCACCGGGGGGAGCCCTGGCGCACCCACCGGCAGGGGAGGTCGCCCCGAGAGGCCGCTCCGCGCACCTGCCATCAGCGGGTCACCGGCATTCGAAGCACCTGCAGCTCCGCCGGGACGCTTTGCGCTCGCGCGTTCTCCAGGCCTCAGGGCTTCCGGAGTCCACGAGCACATCCGGGTTACAGCTCTGAAAGGACCAATGAGCAAAGGCCTTGCGAGCCACGGGGCGGGGCTAAGGCGGGGCAATATGGCCGCCCCCAGCGCGCGGCGTCCCAGGGCCGGTGGGCGGTGCGCGGCCCAGTAGCTGTGCCGCCGCGGACGCGCCCTCTGCCGTCCCCCCGGGCCTCGGCCGGACGCTGGCAGCTCTGTGAGGCGGACGGAGGGAGCCATGGGGACGGTGCACGCCCGGGTAAGAGGCCCCCGGGCTGCGTGACCTCTGGGGGGCCCCGCGGGGAGCGCGCCCGAGGCCGCCGCCGGCCGGGCCGGGCTCCGCTGCAGCGCCCGCGGCCTTGGGCGGGAGGCCGCCGCCATGCCGCCGGCGGACCCCGCGCACCTCGGGGCGGGAGGCGGATGCGCAGGGGAGGGGCGTGACTCGCCCAAGGTCACTCAGCGGGGCCGCGGCGCGGAAAGGAGCCCCCGGGCCCCGCCTCTCCCGGCGCAGAGCCACTCGCTTCTCTCCCCGCGGCTTCTCTGCCTTCGGCCGCTTCCAGCGTCTCCTCCCCGGTCCCCGTCCAGCCTCCCGGTCCGGAGCTCCGGGAGCACCGAGTGCCCTCTTTCCCCAGCCTGGACCCGCCGGAAGTCCCGCTTTTTACTTCCGCCGTCAGAGACGGAGCCCCTCAGTGCCTCAGACCCCCTTTAAAGAGGGGGCGCCGGAGTGCGTGTCCCCCGGCTGTCGGAGAACCGGGGGCGCAGGCTTGTTCAGTGCCAGCGTGGGCGCGGCACGCCCTGCCTGCGTGCCCAGCTGCTCCCCTGCACCCTCCAGCGCGGACCCAAATACGTGTTCTGTCCACGGCCGTAGCGTTAGAGCCCCAGAAAGTTCCAAACCGATCTGTGGGTCCCAGCCCTGAATACGCCTTTCCTGCTCAACTGCGTTCACTTACACCGCAGCTCTGTTTCCGTTGTCTTCCCAAAGAAGGGAGCGCGCACTCCCAGCCTGGGTCCGGGCCTCCGGACTGGGGCTTCAGACCGTTAGTTCAAGTGAAACACTCGCTCTTCTCACTCCCTCCGCCACGATTGCCCGCAGCTCCCTCCTCCTCCCGTCGCCCACCCCGCAGCCATCATCAGCTGCCAGGACGTTCCCACCTTTCAGAGCTCAGTTCAGGTCGCTTCCTGCACAGCCTTCTCCTTAGCTCCCCTCACCTGGACGCG